AAACTGGGAGGAGGGTAGAGAGAATAGTGCAACAATGAATGAGTGGAAGCCCAAAATCTCTGTAAATGTTTATGAAAATTAATAAAACATAATTTTTAAAAAAAGTTATAAATACATTACCATTACTTTGCTTTATAGGCAATTAATTACCTTTTCTCCAGAAATTGCTTGTCCTGGGGACAATCCTGGATCTCCTTTGGAGCCCTAGATAAAAATAATAAAATACTTGGTAAAATATAAATTATATGTAGTGTGTAACAGATCTTCAGTTGTAAGCCTCATCAGATAGCACACATATATAATACTAATGAAATTATTTTAAGTTGGGATGACAAATATTCTCTAGACATGGTTATTTTTTTGTTAATTCTTTTAACAAGATAAATATATGTACACTACAAATGAAACTTATTTATTTGGATGATGTAGGTGAAAAGGCTTATCTTTTTCTAATTTTTTGCAACATATTAAGCTATTATTTCTACTTTAGCATATGAAAGGTTGTTATTTAACATAATATTCTATGATTAGTTCCCAAAATCTTAAAATAGACCATGCATTAATTGTTTAACAAATAAAAAAATAGAAAAAATAGATCTCTAACAATTTTTATTGTGTTATAAAAATAGGTATTTTTCATAAAATAAATAAAATAAAATAAAGTCTAACTACTTTATCTTTTACATTTCAAGAGAACTATGACATTAGGTTTCAATTAAGTATTTTGGTACAATATTAAAATTATCTTTTATACTGTGCATACTAGCAAACCATCTCCACACACTCCCCCCCCATATGTCATGAAGTAGAGGTTTCACAGTTGAGCTTGCTAAAACTAAATTCTGATTTTATTATAATTCTTAATTAAGAGTACATAAGCTCTGTTCCTAGATACTTATAAATGCTGTCATCAATATGTAAGAAATAAGGAAATCATCTTACTCATCTGTCATGCCTTTCCCCCACATTTAGGATATCTTTACATTGGAAGGAAAATGGCCAGTGAAAGAATGACGACAGAAAAATCCCACATGGTTCCCCATAAGTCTACTCATATAAAAAATTACAGATTTGATTAGTATGACGTCCTGCTTTCTGAGTCACTAGCTGGCCCACCCACACAGGGACCTATCCTGAAAGGAGAATCAGCCTCTCTCTCTCTCTCACTCTCACTCTCACTCTCTATCTCTATCTCTCTCTCCATGTCTAGCTCTTCTAGTGTCTTTGCTTTGAAGAAAGTGGTACAGCAGCTTTGGCTGGAAGCTGGGCTCAACCGCGTGAAGGTTTCCCAGGCAGCCGCACATGTGAAACAATTCTGTCTCCAGAATGCTCAACATGACTCTCTGCTGACTGGAGTATCTTTAGACCCCAGAAAGTCTGTTCATTTTTGTAGTAAAATGAATCTTCAAAGGTTTCCTAAACCACTTTTAAGAACCAGTGAATATTCAAAGGAGAGTGAAATATGAAGCCTGTACAAAAGCTTATCCCTACAACACATGTGCCATACTATACAGATTTCTACTTCTGTCAGTTCGTAACATCTACCTCTGAATTTCCATGAGTTTCTATTCCACAAGGGTAGTAATTATTTTATATACACTGGTAGCCACAGATAATAAAGTCTTTGGTATTAGAAAAAAAGTTCTTGCTTTCTGTGTTGTTAGTTGACATTGAGTCAATCAGAGGGGGGAGAAAAAGGATTTTCAAATGAACTTCTTCCTGTCAATAGTCATCACTACTTTCTACCACCAAGGTTACAAATTTAGATTAGAATATGTAAGATTATAAAACCTCAGAAGTAACTCTGGGGCAAATTCAATATATGAGGACTTGACTCATCATCTAAAAAAAAAAAAAAGACTATGTAATATAATGTTCGTTACCATTTAATCAACTCAACTGACCCTCACGTGAGTTTCTGGAAGCTGTAAAATGCATGGGAGTAGATTCCTCATCTTTATCTCTCTGAGCCACTGTGGATTTGAACACCAGTAAGGTGCCATCTTTGGGTTAGCATAGACGTGGAATTTATAACTTACGTTAGAGAAGTGGAGCATTAAAAGAGTCTCTGAAGACCTAGGAGTAAAGCCCCAAACCATAAAGTTCATAAGAGACAAATTAGAATCAAGCTTTGAAAGCCTAGTCTATGGTATAAAGAGACTGCCAAATATAGCCAGAAATGTACAATCTGAAGAGGATAAAACTGATGAATGGGACCTTCTAAATATTATATCCTGGTGTGCATCAAAACCTTTTTTCCAACAGGGTGAAAAGAAAACTTATTGACTAGGAAGAAACATTTGGCAAAATCATCTCAGACAACAGTCTCATAACAACATACAGCTTCCACAGGAAAAAGACTGATAATCCAATTATAAAATGGGTAAAAGACATGGAAAGAATTTTTACAGAGGAAGATACTTGAATAGCCAACAGACACATGAAGAAATGCTCCAAAACACTGGCAAAAAAGAGAGATGCAAATCAAAACCACAAGATACCATCTCACTCAAGTAGCAGTGGCAAAACTTTAACAGGACAGAACAGCAAGTTAATAAATATTGGAGAAAATGTGGCTAGATAGGAACTCTTACTGTGGGTGGCATTGTACAATGGTACAGCCACTCTGGAAGGCAGTTTGATGCTTCCTCAGAAAAGCTGAACATAGAAATTCCATATGACCCAGCTATTCCACTGTTTGGACTATATCCTGAGAAAATTAGAACAGAGGAACAAACGGAGACTTGTACACCAATGTTCACAACAGCATTATTCACCATTACAAGAACATGGAAACAGCCCCAATGTCCAAACACAATCAAATGGATTGAAAAATTATAGTACATTTACATTTTCAATAGAATAATATGCAGCACGCAGGACCAATGATTTTATAAATTACTACCTAACTAGGGAGGCACTGGTGGGCATTATGCTAAGTGAATTAACTCAGTCCCATAAGAAAAAATATTGTATAAAGCCATTATTGTAGAATGAGTATAAGGATCCAGGCAGGGAAACAGTGGCAGCAGAGGAGTGAGGATGAGGGGGTATTAATCATAGGGTCATACAATTTGATGAGTGAGGAGGGAGTGAACGAAATTGGAAAAATACAGTGTGAAACATAATCAACCATAAATCATAAACAATAAAACCATAAATGATAAACCAGTATTTTTAATAAAATGCCTCCAAAACCTTTTACTCACTTGCCCAACATTTTACATTAACTCTATGACTCTTAGTCTTACTTGATTACCTTTTCATATGTTGTTGTTGTTGTTATGTGCCGTCGAGTCACTTATGACTCACAGCAACCCTATGCACAACAGCCCTACCACCTGCTCTATCCTGTGCCAACTTTACTGTTTCTGACATACCTACTCTCATTACCCCAGTCACTGTATCAATCCATCTCACCAATGGTCTCCCTCTCTTTCTCCATCCTGTCACTGTTCCAAGCATGATGTCCATCTCCAAGGACCGGTCCCTCCTTGTAACATGTACAAAGTATGTCAGATGAAGCCTAAGAATCCTTTTCGCCAAGGAGTATCTTGGCTGCACCGTCTCTAGGACGAAATCTATTTGTTCTCCTGGTAATCCATGATATATTCAACACTCTTCTCAAACACCACAGTACAAAGCCATCAATTCTCTTTCTATCATCCCTATCCATGTCCAGCTCTTTGACATATAGCAAGCGATTGCAAAGACTCTGGCCTGGATCAGGTACACCTTAGTCTTCAAATTAACATCATTGTTCTTCAATAGTTTGAAGAGGTCCCTGACAGCCAACTTTCCCAATGCAATTCATCTCTTGATTTCCTGGCTGCTGATACTAAGACTGTTGATTGTGAAGCCAAGCAAACTAAAGCTGTTAAGAATCTCAATCTCTTCACCATCTATCATAATGCTGCAAATTGGCTCAGTGGTGAGAATCTTTGTTTTCTTGATATTGAGTTTCAATCCGTATTGAAGACTGCAGTCCTTGATCTTCTGCAGGAAGCACTTCAGGTCCACCTCAGTTTCAGCAATCAGGGTTGTGTGATCTGCATAACAGGTTGTTGATGGATCATCCTCCAGTCCTGATGCCACATTCCTCCTCATACAGTGCCTCCTGGATGATCTGTTCTGCATATAGATTGGAAAGGAATAAAGACAGAATACATCCCTAGTACATACCCTTCCCAGTTTTGAACCATGCAGTGTCTCTTTGCTTTGTTCTGATAACTGTCTCCTGGTTCAATTATAGTTTTAGCATAAGTACAAAGTTCTGAGATTCCCATTCTTTCCAGAGTCACAGTATGCTGTGATCCACACAATTAAATGCCTTTGTATAGTCAATGAAACACAGATAAACATTCCTCTGGTATTTCCTGCTTTCAGCCAAGATCCATCTAATGTTGGCTATACTATCCCTAGTACACGGCCTCTTCTAAAACCAGCATGCACATATCTGCTGATGCTCCAGTTGTTTTTGGATAATTTTCATCAGAATCTTGATTGCTTGTGATAGTAATATTGTTTGGTAATTTCCACATTCTGTCAGGTCACCTTTCTTTGAAATGGGAACAAATACTGATCTCTTCCAGTCAGGTGGCCAGGTGGTTGTCCTCCAGATTTCTTGGCACATCATAGTGAGCACTTCCAGGGCAGCGTCTCTTTGTTGAAATATATCAGTTGGTACACTGTCAACCTGGGGCCATGTTTTTTGCCAGTTCTTTCAGAGCAGCTTGAACTTCTGTCTCATATTTTTTCTTGCTCATATGTTGTTTCATGAAATTCTTCTGTGTCCACCAATTCTTTCTGGTAGAGTAACTCTGTATACTACTTCCATCTTCTTTTAATCCTTCTTGGATTCTTTAATATTCTTTCCAAAGCATCCTTAAGTATTGCAACTTGTGGCTTTAATTTGTTTTTCAATTTCTTCATCTTAAGAAATGCTGAGCTAGTTTGGCTCTTGATTTTCTAACTCCAGCTCTTTGCACATTTCATTATAATACTTTATTTTCTCTTTCCAAGTTGTCCTTTGAAATCTTCTGTTCAGCTCCTTAATTTCTTCCCTTTGCTTTGTCTTCTCGAGCTCTGGTGCATTATATTCAGAGTCTCATTTCATATCTATCTTGGTCTTTTCTTCCTCCCCTGACTTTGTAATGATCTTTTGCATTCTCCATGGATGATATCCTTGATATCCTCCCACAGCT